ATGGAAGCACACCCCCTTATTTTACATCCCCCCTCACGACTTTTTTCTTAAATAGCTCAGCATCGCTCTTTTGATGGGTGTTATGTGAAGCCCAGCTCTGATCCGGAAAACGTTCGCTTCCAATTCCATCCCCCTTAAATCCCCCCATTCCATCATCATCATCACCGCACGTACTCACGCACACATATACACATAAAAAAGTAAATAAAAAACAGGCGATGCAAGGGGTGGGGAATAAAAATCCCCAACTGATGGTCTAGTTCAGCTATGGAATCATTCCATGATCTATTTTCCATAATTCTTCTTCTACGCTTGCATTTTTCCCTCTCGTTTAACCCGGACCCCCCCCCCTTTATATGCCCCCGAACCCCTTTTTTCCATGCCACTTTATTTCTCGATCCCCTCCTACACATCCCATCACCAAAGTCAGACACTCCTCCATATTCCCTCCATTTACTTCCATTTTTTTGTCGCATCCCTCTCCCAAGCATCCCCACCCCCGCGAGAAGGAGGAGAATATGATGCATGAACCGAACCGTTTTTATGGATCTTTTGGTGCTGCAGGGCGGGGGGAGTAGAACAACCAGACCGCCCCTACTGAGTATAAGAGGAGGGGTGGGTGCCATCACCCAGAGAGGGTGAGGGGTCGGGAAGGGAGATAGAGCGCTCTTCAAAAGAGAAGGGATGTCTGACCCAAGACTGAAAGTCTCTTGTCGCCTTTTTCCCTATTTTTTCTTTATTTCCCTCTTCTTTCTCTCGGGTGGGGATAAAATTTTATTTTTCTTGATGCGCCGAAGGGAAGAAAAAAAATTTTTATTCCCCCTGCTTCCCTTTTTTTTTTATAAAATAGCGTGGGTGGTGAGGGTGAGGAAAGGGATAGCAATCGAAGGTTATTCCGATGTGGGTTATTGAGCGGAGAAACTGTCGTAACTTTGCGTTACAAGACACGAGCGTGAACTTGTACTTGTAGTTCTCCGACCATAAAAACTTGCGGAGGTATAAAAAAAAGAAGAAAAAAAGAAGAGAAAATGGGAATAAGTACTCGAGCCGACCTATTGTCGAAGAACTTCTCTGTGTAAATTTTTGCAGCTTGCTTAACTCTTCTCATCTTTCATTGCCCTGTTAGTTGCTTAGTTTCGCTGATAAATATTTATTTTAGAAATCGGTAGTCGGTGTACATCTAATTATTTACTAATTTACTACGCAAATATCAATATGCAGAATTTATAAACCTTTTTTGCTTTGGCATTAGCTTCAAACTGATAGAGCGATAGATTGATGAATTTGATCAATAATTGATGAATTGATAGTCATTAGATCGCAAATGTTTGAAAAATAGAAGAATTAAAAGAAAATGCAAGCTAGTTCTCGGGTCGATCTGTAGCTGATTTTATTTTATATTTTATTACAGTTGTTAAACAGCCAACACAATTTTGAGTTAAAGACTCCACAGAAACTCCGTAGCCTTGTAATTTTGGACCCAATCTAGAAGACAAGGTAACTCCTGAATCAAATGATTTGCTTTTTTGAGAATTTTTTGAGGGGACTAACCCGCATTTGCGTTACATGGAGTGGTAAACCTCGGAAATCTCCCATGGTTAGCGTGACGGCAAGGAGACTTTACTACAACGGAGGATATTTTACGTCAGCACTGTGGTCGGTGTGAGCAGGGTGCAGAATTCGTATCAAACAGCCATCGTTGGGATTGGAACCCGGGTCAATTAGGAGGCGTGCGCTCTATCCCCTGAGCCACCATGTCATCTGTTGTTGATTTTAAAATCATTTTGTTTAAGCATTTGCAGCTGGCTTATTTTTTTCCCTTCAGTCAAGGAATAGTTGATACATTTGTGAAATAAGCACCTATAACGGAATCTGGATTAATAACGGATTAATAGATCTAATAGTTTTCAATTAATGATATGGATTAAATATCTTTGGGTATTATTAAACTCAAGCCCTCAAAATATTGAAAAGTAAAAGAAAAAAGACGAACAAAAAATACTAATTAGTAATTGGGTCGTTTTCAAGAAAACTACGGATTTATTTATTTACATAAATATTGCAATTTTGCGACATTTTAATTACCCCCATAGAGGGATCTATCTAAAGATGGGCAAAACTTAGACTAACAACAGTCATAAAGATATATTATTAATGATTCGCTAATAAATTTTATTTAATGAAGTAAGAAATACCGAAAAACAGCCTTAATTCTGTATTTATAAATAGCTTATTATTAGCTATTTTATAAATAGCTTATATATTACAAATTTCATAACTTTAAATATCATCATTGACATCAACGACAAACGGTGCCCAATAATTTCCTATCAACATGAAATCAAACAAAATTTTTAAAAAAATGCAAATTAGTAATCGAATCGCTTAAATTGTGTAGTTTCTTCATATTATAATTTTGTACCATTTTAACTAACATCACAGAGGGTTCGATTTAAAGATGGACAAAATTAACCTAGCAGTTGTGAAAAGCTCACATAGACTCTTAACAGTTATAAAAACAGCATATTATTCCCTAATGGTGTTTTATCTCACATGGTATAAGAACTGCTAAAGTAGCATTGATTCTATGTATACAAAACATTTATAAATAGCTTATGTCTTTTAAATTTCATCACTTTAGGCATCATCATTATCATCAATGACAAGAAATTATTAATAATTTCCTTTCAACATAAAAGAAATAAAAAATAATATTCTTCGTAATATAGATAATAATTATATATATAATATCTATAAATAATAAATGTAAATATATTTATTAATAATATAAATAATTTATGTATAAATAACTAATATATAAATAATTAATATATCTTAATATATATTCGTAATATAATTTCCTTCGTAATACAGTTTTGCACCATTTTAACTAACAGCACAGAGGTCTCAACAAAACTGTACAAAACTTAACCTAACTGTTACAAAAAACATGCAGACTCACAATAGTTATAAAAATAACTTATTGTACTCTATGGGTTTCTTATTTCATATGACAAAAGAGTCACAAAAACTAGCCTTACTACTTAATATGACTTACTAATTTATAGGGCATTTATAAATAATTTGTGTTTCAAATTTCAGCCCTTTAGGCATCATCATTGTCATCAATAACAAAGAGTGGTAGACCACATCCTGTCATCATAGTAACTGTCAATACCTCTCTCTATTATGACATCACGTAATATGATGACAAATTCATTTTAAATCAATTCTCATATTTTAATGAAATAGAATGAAATATTGTCTCATCTACTCCGTGCAAATAGATTTTGGAATCATTTTATTAACGCCTTTGTTCTCGAGAAGTAGAA